AATCTCCTAATTTCGCGAATCTAGTTCTCCTTGTACATACCACAATCTTTTGGACATTAGAGTGGAAATTAGATTGCTCTTACTTTCTATCTTTGCTATTTACTTGAATTTAGGGTATTAACTATTAAGATTACACATGCATGTCAAAATCAGGAGTTTCCGGTCATTGGTCCAATATTTTGTGTGATGGGCCAAATAAAATGTTATGTTTTTAATTTTTACTTAACATGATCATTCTGGTTCATACCAAATCATATAAGACCAGACCATATAGGTGGGATCTGGTCTGGAGCGTAGATCGTATATATGATTTAAATCAAATTGTAACATTTCCCAACCCTTGCCCATGACTTTGGTTTCCCCATTTTTTTTCCTTCTCATTGGGGGTAATCAGGAAAGCCATCGAAATGACCACAACTAAAGACGCTGCAGCCAGACTAACCGCAATTGCACGAATACGTTGACTTTCTTTCATTGTGGCCATGATATGTGAAACCATCAACGGTAACACCGACCAATTTCGTTCATCGAACGATATTATACCTCCGAAGATGTAACATAAACCTGATGGATCTATCATTTGATTATCATTAACAACAACAACACATACATACATTTTGTTCACCTCCTACATTCTCTCTTCACACATTTCCTTTTCCCAATTTGAAAAGAGTATATAATACTATCCTCCATGTAGAACGAGAAATGATCGTGGGCTTCTGCCATTGAGAATGAGTTGTAGTGGCGGCTAGTGGAGGGCGGCCCCTCAAATCACACAACTAAACCAATAAAATATAAAATAACCCTCCTTTTGTTTTATTTCCTTCTTTTCCACTCATAGCCTCCCAAAGTAAACTCTCCTTTCTACACCCAAACTTTTGGACGTATCTGAAGTGGACTGGACACCCTTTATATAAATAAATGCCCTCCCGATCTCCCTCCAATCTCCATAATCAAACACCCTCATTCTCCTCTCTCTCTTTCTCTCTCTCTCTCTCTAAACTACACCATAATTTCACTCCCAACCATGGTGGTTCCTGCGGCGGCCAATGGTGGTGATCAGAAACCCTACGAAATCCCATTCTTTGACTTGGGCGCTGCCGGGGAAGAAGAGATTATTGCTGACGTGGCGCGGTGGAAGGAGATGTGCGACAAGGTGCGGGAGGCGTGCGAGATCCAGGGCTGCTTCTGCTTCACGACGGACAAGGTCCCCGCGAAGCTGAGGGAAGGGATGGCGGAAGGGCTGCGTCAGCTGTTCGACCTGCCCGTGGAGACCAAGGAGAGGCACGTCAGCCCTAAGCCGTACCGGAGCTACCTGGGCAAGAACGACGTCGTCCCGTACCTCGAGAGCTTCGGCATCGACGACCAGGCTCCCGGCGTTGATGACGTGGCGGAGGCTTTCACTGCCGTCATGTGGCCCCAAGGCAACCCTGAATTCCGGTAATTCAAATCATTCAATTAACTCCTTTTTCTTTTCTTATTTTGGGATAATTAACTCAATTTTTGCCGTAATTCACTATATTCGGTCTGATTTCAACGACATTCATTCATCTTATGATCCTTCTCATTTTTCTTCTCCTGACGACCATATTTTCAATCAAATTGGTACGAATTATACCGTATAATATTATAATAACGTGATTTCAAGTGGTAACTACTTTTTAAGGATCAACTACTAGTGCAATTGAAGTGAAATATGCGATGATGATGGTGGTGTGGTTTTCGTTATGTAGTATGAAAATATCGTAATTCCATTTTTAGTCTTTCCACTTGAACCTTAAAAACGTCCCCAAAAAAAAAAAAAACAATAGAACTGACCAAGCCGATGATCGTTGTGGCATATCAGACAAGTCACTTTCAATGGCGTGGGAAATGGAGTTAGATTTTTATATATAAAAAATACCACTTGAGCAACAACAACCAAAAAAAACTTGTTGAACTACAAAGTTTGTAAGATATTATTTGTATTTTCATTTAATTATCTTGAAATGAATTTTTCCTATAACAAATAGTACTTGAGCAACAATAAACATACGTTGAGCCACAAATTTTGGAAGATATTATTTGTATTTTCAATTAATTATCCTCCTTTTTTATTCCTTCGAAATATTTTTACTTTTTCTGTGGTGAAAAACGATTGGGTGGCATTAAATTTAGACATGAGGATGCTATAACAAGCCAGAACCAGCTAATTCTATTCTACTAGACTCCTCCCTCTCTATATTTATTAGGGGCTTATCCCTTTTCAAAACAGATTGAATTTAATGGGAGTGTTTCCAGGCAGCTAGCCTTGCTTTTATTGTATATCTCGATCTAGCTCCACTCTGCACATGTCCTCGCAGAATATCAGCTACAAAGTAACAAGTTCCAATCCCCAGAAACCACAAACAAAAAATAAATAACAACAAGTTCGAAATTATTAAAATTTTTCGATACATAATAATTAAACCACTACAGAAATTCCGACTTGCAATCGAATTAATTAACAAATAATCAACAGACGATACGGCTTACCAAAAAATACCAGAATTATACCTAACATATCACCTTAGTCAGCTTTATAGATCTATCTATCTATCTATATTATTTATAAATAAAAAAACACAGCCTTCCATTAAATTCTGCCCTAGTTTGTGCATGTTTCTTCGGCTTCTGTCAATTCCTTGTTTGTTAATTCTTTTTTAAGGGTATGGATCAAAATACATCCGTTTATTTTTTTAATACGTTATACTCCCAGCAAGGAAACAGCAACAGCTGTTTTCAGGTTGTCTATTATCAGAAGGTCAACTTCAGTGACCAATCACAGATTATCCCCATCGTAAATAAATCATTTAGCCTCCTCCTAGCCTTGTTGACCTTCCTATACGTTACCATCATTTCTAGAACCTCAACAGTATCTGTTCATCAATATATCGATATTACCAACAATTAGAGTTATCCGCGACAATATCATTCTAACTACGACTTAATTTCCTTAATTGTATATGTATGTACTTCAACAGTGAATCACTGAGCGAGATGAGCGCCAAGATGCTGGACCTGAACCTCCTCATTATCAAGATGCTACTCACCAGCTACAACCTCGAGACTAACCCATCCCACGCCGCGGCGGACACCACCACCAGCTACTTCCGCCTCATGAAGTACAAAGTCCCTCCCGCCCCTCCCGCCGCCGACCACTACGCCGGGATCGGGCTTATGGCCCACACCGACAAGAACACCGTCACCATCCTGGGCCAGAACGACGTCCAGGGCCTCGAGATCCAGCCCAAAGAAGACAACAACACCTGGGTCCCCGTCGTGATCCCCGAGGGCGCGTTCGTGGCCATCGTCGGGGACGCGCTCAAGGCCTGGAGCAACGGGCGGCTCCACTCGGTTCGGCACCGGGTCGTGCTCCGAGGGGAGAAGGAGCGGTACTCGTGGGGCAGCTTCTTGATGCCCAAGGACGGCTCGAGGGTCGAGGCGCCGGAGGAGTTCGTCGACAAAGACCACCCGCCGTTGTACCGCGGCTTCACCTACGCCGACTTCCTCTCTTACTTCGTCTCCACGTTGAAGGACGATGCCCTCGACGTTTTCGCTGGCTTGCCCGACGTCGTCGATGATCGGGATCAGCTGGCTGTTAACTGAGGGAGGAGCATGCATGCAGGGCGTTTGATTAATTGGTTGCGGTCGGGGTTAACGTGGTGTCTGGTTATAAAGTAATGCTGGTGTGTTTCGTAAAGTTGTGATTGTCGTGTGTTTGATTAAGCGTTGTGAATTGTGATTAATAATGTTGTCTCTCTTTTGTCGTGGTGGTTTTGGTATGTATATTGTTGTATATGCCTGGAGGGACAGTGGGATACCTTGGGAAGTAAAGTGTTTTTTTTTAATGTTATAGTGCATGTGTGATTGTTTGTAACTTGTAAGGAGAAAAAAGAGATCTAATGAGCAATTTGTCCATTGAGTAAATGAAAGTTATATTTATCTACTTTTGAGTTTTTGTATGGTATAAAATAGATTGTTTTCAAATATCTTAAAAAGGATAAGTTTAGGTGGGCTTAATTAGTTACAATGTGTACTTAAGAGGGAAAAAATCATGAAATTTTGACTTGGCAACATGATACTAATTTGGAAGAGAGGTTAACGTTTCAAAACTTTAGTATGTTAACTAAGAAAGAGAGTTAGAAAGTTATTAACGGTAACTCTCTCTAAAAATAAGTTATTAACGGTAACAGAAGGCTAATATTTTGATGCATTTGAAATATTTGATTAATTATTAGTAATTCAATAGGTTTGACTAATAAAAAAGAACGTGAAAAAAATTTGGCTAATAATTCATATTTACCATGTTACTAGCTAATAACAAACATATTAACATTACTTAAGTGGAAATTATAAATAACTAATCACCAATACTAAGAGAAATAATGAAAAGGAACACTAGTTCTAACTCACTCTACGTGACGAACCTTGTGTTCATGAGATGCTACAAATATATTAGGAATTGAGATTTTATGTTAAAATAAAAAATAATGATTTATACAAAATATTGTGTATGCATATATAATCGGACGAGTTCGGATTAGATAGTGAGAAAATCATACCTGCTCATTACATGCAATATTCGACTTCAAATTTTACCCGTGCCAGTGGATATTTTATGTTGATATGGTTTTACCCTATCTAGGTGGGTGTTTATTAACTATCAACTTGCTCACTTGATTGTATTTAAAATGACTTGAGTTGAGACTTGAGAGATTAGTTTGACGAGAAACGAAAATTGAGGGACAAAAATTGTCAAGGAAAAAGTTGAAGGACAAAAAGGTTATTATAGCAACCTCGGTCTTTTAACAACAATGGCCCTATCCTGGGCTGTCTGTTTGACAATAGCCCAATCCCATGCCAAACTCAAATTTGACGGCTTATATGGGCTTGCGGGCCGCTGAATATGGGCCGCACATTTCGGCTTCCTGGGTGATCTCATTTTATTTTACCTCGCTCCTCCATCAATCTTTATCTTGTCTTGTGTCATTCATCGAATTTTCAGATTATTTCCCGTTCGTTAATGGAGTCTCCCCGAACTCACGTAGATACCGGCGACGCCGGGGTAAGGCTCAGCCGCCGGAAATGGAGGCGCACTTCTCCATAATTTTTTTTCTTTGTCAGTTATTTATTATTGATTTTCTTTCCTTAATCCGTCGATTACGCAGGATGAAGAAGACGATCTTCAGCTGCTTGAGCGAGAACTGGATCGCACCCGATCCTCGATTCAGATGCTGAATGTTAGCTTGGATGAACAGGTATCAGGTGAGCTTTTGGTTCGTTAACGCGCCAAAGTACAAACTGTAATGGTAGAGAACCGCTCCATTTCCTTCCTCTTTGCTTCGCTTTTAATTCTGCGCGGAAATTTTCAGAATCGGAGAAAGGCTGATGTTCTGAGCGAATCGCAGAAGTTGCGAGAGAGAATTGATGGTTCTGGTTGTAATGCAGCCGTTGATAAACTGATTCCGATTCTCGAATCATTGAAGGTAATCGCTGAAACACGTTAATAACGAGTGTCAATTTGTTTGCCCTAGCAAGCATTTAGGAGTGGTTATTCGAATGCTTCTGTAGAGCTTAGAGAATGAAGAATGTGTGCTACGAGCTGATTATGATGCGAGACGTGCTGGATTAGAAGCCGACGTTTGCGAATTGGAGGACAAGGTGGAATCTGGTTCTCACAGTGAGAGCCTTTCTGAGAGCCTGGATAGTTTGCTGGAAATGTCATTGGAGAAATTAGATTCAGCAAAGAAGGTATCTTGTGGAACTTAGTAATGGAGTCTGTACATGACTTCTTTACTGTAGAAGTTTCTTGTTGGTAATGTTTAGTTTTTTTTATGTTTGTAGGAACTGGCAGGTAGACTGAGGGCCGTACTGTTAGTGAAGCGTCAGATTGATGATGTGGCGACTCAAGCAGAAGTTATCCAGTATGTTGTTAATTTTCTACATGCTTAGCTTAATCGCTTTAATAGAATGTTATGCTACTCCTTATGCATAATGAATTGCCCATTCGAGTGAATTCATGCTTTCTTTCCAGGTATGATCGTAGACTTTCTGAACTCAATGCTTATATCCAGGTATGAGATGAGGGTTTCCATCAAATATTTTGTTGATTTTTCCCACTATTTTCTTTCTCTGAATACTCTGTTTGATCTCGTCAGGAGAAACACCAACAAACCCGTAAACACTATGATACCTATAATGCTCTGTTGGAGATTAAAGACTTGATGCTAAAAGAAACTTCCTTATTGAACTCAATAAATTCCCAGGTAAAAATCGTTCAAGGTTCTGTGATCTGTAGCTTACTTTTGTGAATTAAATGCTGTGAAGAAGCGCCTTACAATGTTTATTATAGTTATTAAATACGCCAAAGCATGCTCCGTGTGTATATATATGTATTAACGGGCTATATGTTCATATATTCAGATGTGGATTCCATCGAGGCAATATTGTGCTGACAATTTGTTTAGTTTTGCTTGCAATGATTGGTTAAGTTTTTCATCAAGAACAGTTCTGTCATGTTCTGACTGCTTCCTAACTCGAGAGATGCTTAGGAAAATAGAATTTTCAAAAACCTATGCACACAATTGTCATGAGTGAATTGTGACTAGCATCCCCTTCGACACTTTACAGTTCCAGGATGCAATTACTAGTGCTGACGGTCGCATGAAACTCATAGCTTCAATGGAAGGAATTGTGAAGAACAGTCAACAGGTCATCTACCCTACCCATTTTGCAATTGTGAACTGCCAAATCATATCTAGGTGTCTATGGATTAAGGTGGTAATGGTAATTACTGTCTCCTCTTGCCTGCAGAAGCTACGAAAGTTGGAGAATGGACTTGATGAGGAGCAGATGACTCTCAGCAATCTCAAGAAGAAGTATGCTGCTGCAATGTCGGAGCAAAGGCATTGCTATTCTCTGTTGAAAGCATTTCAGGTTAGCCCTCCGGGTTCCCTTCTCAATGGTTGTAGGATGAACTTGTTCTTATCGTCATTCTAATTGCAGCCATGTAACACAATAATCGTCATTTTGTCCCTCCTCTATTGAAAAGCTTGTCTCTCATTTCTGCAGGAGGAATGTTCAAAGAATGAGAGGCTCCGAGGTCTATCTGCAGCTTAGGAAACCCAGCGCGTTACGGAAAAGATATATGTATGTCCGATTAAGATTCTTTTCGATGTAATCACAGAATATGATGGGTGTCTTGTTCATGCTGCTGAAACCTATGGTTGGATTTCTTGTAACTGCAAGTTATCGTCGTCCTTGTTTGCTTTCTCCGTCCCGTCGTTGAATAAATTCGGGTCCTCGGAACACTCCAATTTAACTAATCTTTCGCTATTGAATAGTTACAGCTAATTAAACAATTCAGAATGAGGTGGCATGATCTCTTACTTTGTAAAGAATACTACCAATAGATTGCGACTTGAGGTTAATGTTTATCGTTATCCCATTATGCTGATCAAATACTCCAAATTGGTCAATGAATCCATTTCAGAAAAGGGAAACGTCGTGAGTTTACAGAGCGTCGTCATCCTAGCCTAGCCATTCAACTTATCCCTAGTTAAAGTTTCCATTTTAATTTTATGAAAGCTAGTTTAAGTTTTCAATGGGTATTATTTTATAAAGTTTACATAAGCTATGTGCTCTTTGTCAAATCATCAATGTCATCATCATAACACCGTCAATTTGATAGTTAATTGGGAAGATAGCAAAGTAAAAACAGAACATGTTGGTTATTAACGTTTTAGGAATGTGTAGGTGACAAGTAATGATTGAGGTTCTGGTTATTAATGATTTTGACATCGATTTATTAGTATGTTACTGTTCTTCGAACTTACTGTGGAAATGATGACCAATACTACTATTTTTTTTTTTTGCTATGGTCAACATAAAAAAGGAATGAAAAATTTTCACTACTCAAATCGTTATAATAGGTAATTTAGAACGTCAGAAATTTGTGTTGACTAGATGATACTAGACTGAGAGATTTTTTTTATTAATTAATTCGTGGAATAATAACAAATCTGGAAGAAAAAAAAAGATCCATCTTAAAAATAACCATATTTCATTCCAAAATTGCTCCAAGTTGATAATGATTTTCTTCCTTCTTATCACAATTTATCCAAATAATGTTGTATCACTGTTCGATTGCACCGTTAATTTGATTTAGTGATTTGATCATCCGGTCCGCTCTTATTCATAATTTTTGCGTATATATATACCAACAAAAATAAGACAATCTTGTATATTGCAAGTTACCAACCCTACGAGATAGAAACGTTAATGTTTTTATATAGATGGACAAAAACATTGATAGATATTAGATACCAACCCTACGACTTAATCATTACTAATAAATAAAACTATATACACAGCAACTGGATTATATGAATTAATTATTTTGTGATGGCAGAAAGCACGGTCTCGAAACCCTTATACTTCAGCCCTATATACTCCTTCACAGACACCGCCCGGTACCGACAAACTTCCCCTTCCCCGCCGCCGCCGCCGCACGCCAACGGCGACAGGATGCAGTCCGGCGTGGGGACAAAGAAGAGCCCCACCGACACCCTCTGCCTGGCCTCCCTCAGCACCACCCGGTGCCGAGCCGTGTGAAACCGGGCGTTGGAGACCACATGTAGCAGATCGCCGACGTTCACCGTGATGCCTCCGTCGACCGGATCCACCATGCCCCACCCTCCGCCGCCGCCGCCGCCGCCGCGGTCGCTGAAAATCTGGAGCCCTTTCACCCCGCCTTGGTATAAGAGGGTGAGGAAGGAAGTGTCGGTGTGGGGAGCCATGCCCATGGCTCGGGTCGGGTCGGGGCACGGCGGGTACGAGTTGAGCTGGAGTGTCGTCATGGTGGCGGATGGTGACGAGATCCGCCGGATTTCTTGCTCCGCCGTGTTGGCTGATCGGAGGATTAGGCCGAGGAGTCTGGCGGCGAGTTCCCTCATGCGCTTTTGATAATCCTCGATGACGTCGCTGTTAAAAACATGATTTCATAAACCCGTGGTTAAAAGGTCATGTCTAAAGTTGACCTTCGATGTTGATATTGTACATATATGCTGCCAATATCAAATTTAAATTAGATCTAATAACTTGGTTATTAAACTTAATTAGAAACGTTTTGTTAACTATTATATAGATAAGTAATAATGTATTGCATGCCTCCAACACTACTCAAATTGAATCATATACTTAAAATATGGTAAAAATGGAATCATTAATTTACAAAAGAAAGTTACATGGTGCTCGATCGGCTCGTATATAACAAAGCAGCCAGAAGTGGGTGTCTCTCACTGGCTCGTCGTTATCTCTAATGGTGTCTAAAAATGACACATTTAGTTTTCAGCTGTATATAGGATTAGTTTAGTAGAATAGGGACAAACGAGTGTTTTGGTAATATATGATGACATTTGTGTTTATTAATTATTATTATTATGAATAGTCATTATGATGATGACATTAGCAAAATGGAAAAAAAGTGTTATTTAGCTTGGTTTCCCATGTTAAATATAGTTTTGCATTTGTTTGTATTATAGTATAGCAGCCTGCTCTTGATGTTTTAATAATAAATAAAAAAATATTTCATTTATAAATTGAATTTAATCCAAAAATATCCAATTGTTTACATGCCACATTTGGTCACTGGGATTACTAAATCGTGTTATGTTTAGTCACTAGAAAAAATTAACATCAATTTTGGCCGCTCGAATAACTAAAACATGTCACATCTAGTCACTCTCTCGTTAGCCTCCGTCAAACTCCAGTCACTCGAATTACTCTTTTTTTCTTCGTATGAATGCCAGTCGAATTACTGAAACATATCACGTTTAGTCACTCTCCGTTAGCCTCAAAACTAACGGGAGAGTGACTAAATGTGATATATTTTAGTAATGGGAGTGACCAAAATTGATATTAATTTTTTTTAGTGACTAAACATGACATGATTTAGTAATCTCAGCGAACGAAATGTAACCCTAATTCGAAAATTCTAATATATATGACTCAAAGTCAGGCTTCCATCTATTGACTCGAATCGAGATAGGAAAAGAAGAAACAATTAATTAAAAATGATAGATATATCGATCTCACCAAAACCCTTGGTAATCATCGGGCCAGAGCTTTCTAGCGTGGTCGGCCGGCGAGCCCATGATGGTGAACCCTTCGTTCCACATGTTCTTATCGAACAACGACGCAAACCTAGCCTGACCGTACCCGTTGACCCCGTTCGGAGACCTCAGCGCCTCCAGCTTCCGGCTCGCCGGGAGCGCAAAAAGCCGCTTGGTCTGCGCCTCAACGGCGGCCAGAATCTCCAAGGGAATCCCGTGGTTGACCAGCTGGAACACGCCCCACGTCTCACAAGCCTCCACCATTAGCTTCCCTGCTGAATCCTCGGGGACCGAAAAGTCGATGACCGGAACCGGGAAGACCAGCTGCCCGTCTCCGGCGGCGGTGTTCTCGAGTTCGGGGCCCGGCGGCGGCGGCCAGACGTGGGTTTCCGGCAAGGTGTCGACGGAGTGGAAGTCGAGAGGGACAATCTGGTGGGGTTTGAGGGTGTATTGCCCGAAGGCTTCTGAGAGTGCGGTGGTGATCATAGTGATTGATTTGATAAAAACGTTTGAATGAGAGGAATTGATGTAATTGATCGATGATGGTTAGCTAGGGCTTATTATATATATGGTTACGATGAATAGGGGATGATTTTAATATTTATTCTCACGAATAACTCTAGTTATTATGATGAATTGTTTCTAAAGTAATATTAGAATTTTCAATAAACGTTTTTTTTTTCCTTGGAGTTTTGGAAATATTTTAATATTGAAATTTTATGTAAATGCAAGTTGTAGTGGAACGGGATATGTGCATAAGTTCGAGCAAAATAGGCGAGATGATATGTTAACCCTGTCGTATTTGATATTGATATATCTTATAACAACTTGAGGTATTTAGATCAATTGATTTTTATTTTTACTATGATATCAGAGTTTTTGGTTGAAATGTCAATGATGTGTGTACAATTCTAATAATTAACTTTCAGGGTGCTCCTACGGTGACATGCATGTCACGGTGACTTGCACTTTTCGGTCGACCTCAATTAGGCTTAGGTCGACCTCATTTAGGATTAGGTCGACATAATCTGTTGTTTCGGTGTAAAAACAGTTTCATGGTGCCTACTTTGGATATTCATATCATACAATTGGCTAGATGGAAATTCAAGATTAATGTCTTGTTTGGAAGCTGGAGTGTCCCTCTACATATTGAAGTGATTAAGAGCTCGATAGGAAGTATAGAAGACCATTTTTGAACTGATCAGAAGGCTATGCCAAAACTTGGAAAATGCCTGAAAATGGCCAAGTCTGGAAAAGTATTTGTGAAGCCTACTTTGGAGCTCTATTCGAGATGCATGAATGCGAGTCGGGTCCAGAGGCCTCTATCACGTTAACTTAGGTATGTTTTTATACTAATTCAAGGCATTGGATGAAATATTGGATAATGCTTCAAACAAAAGGGTCGAAGTTGCTATGAAGACTGTTTTTCTGGCATCCAATATTTCAGCCTAGGGGTGGGATTCGGTACGCCGGTAAACGGTTTACCGTTTTACCGAACCGTTTACCGGCGGTAAACGGTTCGGCGGTATCGGCGGTCGAGCGGCGAATTGGGTGGGTCGGTATACCGAAACCGGTATCGGTAAATACCGACGGTAAATCGATAATACCGATACCGAACCCAAAACGACGTCCCTCTGGTTCCGGACGTTGTCCCGCTGGAAGCCGAAGAAGAGGGCCAGCCAGTCCAGCAGGTCAATGGAAGGTTGCCATTGAACATAGGGAGGGCGCCGGAGGTTCCCAACGGCACGAAGCGCCGCAGCAGCGGCACGGACCTCGGGGTAGCGGAGGGAAGGATGGTCAGCTAGGAGGTTATGGACTGGAATGATGTTGAAAGGCTCTTCATCTTCAGGAGTCTGACTGTGCCGCGGCCGGCCCTGCGGAGGAGCACGGTAGCGGATAGCGGCCATGGCATCTGAAGACGACGGCGGCTGGAGAGGATAGTTCTAAAAGTCTTCCGGATCAGCTCAGCGGTTTCGCTCCGGCAGTGAGAGATAGAGATAGAGATAGAGAGAGAGGGAAAGGGGGATTTGCGTGGAAAAGCTTATGGGGTGAAGTAATTGCAGAGCCGAAATTGGAAAAGGAAAAAAAGAAAGTAAAAAAAACCCTCTCCTCTAATTACTATCATTGCTTTTTTTTGCTGAACTTTCGTTTCCTGTTTTTTGGCTACAAACATGGTAAATTGGTAATGGCTTATCTCGACTGACATGGACATTTTCTTCTCGGCGAAGTCTTGATGGAAAATAGGGCATTACTATTGTGTCCATTTGTAGTATAAGATGGATAAATTCTTTAGC